CCCAGTGCTCAGGACTACAATCAGGATAAAGCTTCTTCACCATTAAGCCCAAAATAGTGGACTTCTATTTCTGAGCCATTTCTGTGCTTTCATATAAATGCAGAGCTTTGTTTGTTTAACCTTCATTTTTGCCTGCCTATCAAATGAATACCAGGCCCCAAATCTTATTTTGGACTGTTTCTGTGAGCTAGATTCCCAGATGTGAAATAACCCCCACTCAAACGGTACGAACATTTTTAAAGCTGTTGATTGGCACTGCCAAACCTTTGCAAAATGATTGAACCAATTTACACTCCCACCAGCAGTGCACGAGAATATATTTAAATGCAAATCCTAAGAAGCAGAGTGTCTCTTCCGTAGGTATTTCACTTTAAAAAAAAATTTTTTTTTTTTTTTTTTAATGCTAAGCAAAAGCTGACCCAGGGTTTTATAAAAGGAAAGTCTGGCATAAAAGTGGAACCTAGTTAAAACAGCTTAGACATTTAAAAAAAAAGAAAAAGAAAAAGAAAGAAAGAAAAAAGAAAAAGCTTTCAAAGACCCAAGCAGGCCGATAAAAATGTTAGGCGCCGTAGCAAGAAGCACAACTCCAAAGGGGCCATTAACAGTTTGGCTTAGGTTGGGATGGTAACCGCCAAGAATGTTGGGCGTGGTCAGTGTACCAAATTCTAGTTCATAAAAAGCAGAATATTAATACTTCACTTTGTTCAAAAGACGACTTAAGATGTCTAACGCCAGGTTCTAGAGTAGTAGTATTGTCTATAATGAAGCCTATGGGAACGACACACACACCCGTGCCCCTTCGCTCCGGGCACGGGATAGCAGGCCTGCGCAATCTGAGAACACCTCTACCAGGCGGCCACAATGATGGCAGGGTCTGCAGACCGGGAGTCAAGGGAAGCTCAGAGTCGGTGGTCAGCCCGCTGCTTCCAGAAATTCAAGGGGTACAGGGACTAGTGGTCAGGCCAACACCTCCAATCACGCCCCGGCCCGCCCACGACCCCGAGACTCCCACGGCTCCCTCTGGATACCCCCTTCCACCCGCCTCATCAGGAGCCCCACCTCCGAGAGGGCCACTTCGTCCTCACTTGGGTCCTCCCCTTCTTTCCGGCCCACCTCCACTTGTCCCCTACCCTCCCGGCCTCGGGCGCTCGGCTCCGCTCGGTTCCGTTCGGAACTCCCCGCCCCCGGGACGCCTGCAGCCAATCGGCGCGCAGCTCCGCCCCTCGCGGCCGTTCCAGGCGGGCCGGCCGAGCGCAGGCCGAGCCGGGCTGAGGGCGGCGCCGCGGGCGGGGGCGATGGGGCCTGGCTGCCGGGCGGCGGCGGCGGGTCTCGCCTAGACGCGAGGGTCGCGGGAAGGCGAGGGGCAAGCGGGCACTGCGGCCCGCCCGGGATGGGTCGAGCCCGGCCTGGCGGGGCCGAGCGGGAGCGGAGGGCTGCACGCGGGCCGGGCCTGCGGGCTGGGCGGCCCGGGGGGTTGAGGTAGAGGTGGGCGCGGAGGAAGGGGCCGGGCGAGGCGGTGGGAGGAGCGGCGAGGGGGCGGAGGCTGAGCGGCGAGAGAGCGGCGCCTGGCCCGAGGCGGCGGCGTCGGAGCAGGCTGAGGCGGCGGCCGGGACGAGCGCCCTGAGGTGGCGGCCGCGGCCCCATGGGCGGGTGCGTGGGCGCCCAGCACGACTCCTCGGGCAGCCTCAACGAGAACTCGGACGGCACGGGAGGTAGGTGGCGCCAGGGGGCGGCCGCGGCCCCCCATTGTTCGCGGCGACGGCCACCTGTCCCGACCCCGCGCCCCTTTGTCGTTCCTGCTCTGCGTCGGCCCCGCCACGCGCTTCGGGCCCCACGCGGGGCCGCGGGCCTAGGCCTGGCTGGGGGGCCACTACGGCCCGAGGAGAGCGGCGGGATGGCGGCCCGCGGGGGCCGGGGAGAGGCGGCAGCCCCGAGTGCCCCCCGACGGGCCCCGCCGCACCCCCCAAGCCCTTCCCGCGTCGGCAGAGTTGGCCCGGCTCAGCTTTCCCGAGTTTCGGATGACAGCCGCCCCGGTTGGTTCCAGTTTCTCGAGGCAGGCTGGGGAAGTCTCAAGTGGCCGTGGGCAGTGTTTTAAGGAGGAGGGGGGCAGAGGATCGGCCCGGGGAAAACGTGGCTCTCTGCTGCTGCCAGAGGCGTTAGCCCAGAGTGCCGTCGGGGCGCACTAGTCAAATTCCGATGTGTCTTACGTAAAAGGGAAACGTGCAGGATGAAAGTACCCCCCGTATAAGATCAATGCTTTGAGTAAAAGTTTTTCCGACCCGGCTCGCGCTTCACGGTGGTAGTAACCGCGGTGAGAAAAGGCTCGTTAATTCCCTTCTTAGTAGTTGGAACAGATAGATTAATTCTACTTTTGAGTGACCCTGAACGTACCGAGCCCATTCATTATATAGAATGTGTGGAAGTTCGAACGTTGAAGAAAAGAGCTACCGGAGAATGGCAAAGATAGCTTTGATTTGATTCAAATCTTATATTGGGTACCTTCACCTCGGATGCAGTTATCTTTTAAGTTGTTTAGTTGCTTGGGAATAGGCGGGGTCGCACCTTTTCGCACCTTGAGACCAGGATCCTGCCCTGTCTCTTAAGCTCTGCCCGTGAATTCTGTGCACCCAACTTTTATACTAGAAATTTCCTCGTCTACGTGATGTTTAGCCATGTCGCTTCACTAAAATTTCTGGCACTGAATGTTGAACAAATAATTAGAAAAGTCGGTGAACGTGGTCTTGAAAAAGTAGTCCATTGAAATGCTCCTTTGTCACAGCCTATTTACTTGGTGAGGTCCTCTGTGAAAACAAAGCCCAAGTATAGAAAGGATGAGATTAAAAACACTGGGCTAAGGGCAGATTGGTGGTCAGGTGGTACTAGTTAAGTTTGCTAGTACTTAACTAGCATCCGGTTTAATTAACTTTCACATATGTTAAAATTATAATATGCCTTTTTTTTTTTTTTTTTTCTGTTACATGAATGAGCCAGTTTAACCCTTTTGGCTGTGCAGCATAGGATCCAATCACATTACTAGCATGGGCTTTTAGATGCATGAAATCCTAGCTTTAGATAATTAATACCAGTGGCATCCAGTTAGTTATAGTGTCTGTTTCTTTCAGCATTTAAGTTTTCTGGACCATAAACTGTTATGTTTTTCTAAAAAAAGTTTTTTAAAAAGGGAGTACCAGCCGGGTGTGGTGGTGCACACTTTTAATCTCAGTATTCAGGAGACAGAGGCTGGTGAATCTCTGTGAGTTCAAGGCCAGCCTGATCAAAGATTGAGTTCCAGGACAGCCTGGGCACACAGAGAAACCCTGTCTCAGAAAACAAAAGAGTTATGAAAAAGGGAGTACTGCCTATTTCTTCTGGGGAAAGGAATGGGATAGCCCTGATGTAGCTGGCAGAAGGAGGGTCTGTGGGGGATGAAAGAGTTTTTTCTGGAATTTAATTTTGGAAGCCTTTCTTCTCCATTGCTGTTGTGAGAGGTAAGAGCTAATTGTGGAGCCAGGAGCTTGGGAGGCTGTTGCTGGAGGATCTTAAGGTCCAGGCCAGTCCTGGCTACAAAACTCTGTCACCAAAAAAACAACAGAATGTTACTGTGCTATGTGTTTCAGGTTAACATGTTAGCAATTCTTTTTTTGTTGTTTGTTTGAAAGGGAATGATTTTTTTTTTCCTAAGGGTGCTAGCAAAGATCTTAACTTTTCAAAAATTAGCAGTTTTAATCTGGATATATTGAGTTATAACATTTGTGTCGACATGGAGTTTATAGAGCAGCCTTTAGGTATGTTTCATGACAGTTAACATTTATTAATGCTGTGTGAGCACCACCATTTTAGAATGACTCCGGCCTTTCCAAAAGTCCACTGATTCATAATAAATATGATTTAACATACTTGGATATTGTACTTTCCTTTTCCTTCTGGATTAAAGTATTTTTGCTATGAGTGTAAAATTATCCAAAAAGCCTTATTACTTAGATTATGTCTGTGAAGGGATTTGGAGGATTCTTACAAAACATCATAACACTATGGAGATAGCTTAATTCTCACACTAAAATTTGTGTTACTGTTTGAGTTATTAATGTTTCTGTAGTTTTCCTTCTGGTTTACATTGTCTAGAATTCAGATTTGAGTTTTAAGCTATTTAGGCTTTTTTTATGCTTAAAATTTTCAACAAGGCATGTTTATTATAGATTTAAGATTATCTAATTTAGTGTTCTCCAAACCTGTAGTCTCCTATGGTTGTGGCTGCCCCGCCCCCAACTCATGATACCCCCAAACAGGGTTCCTCTGTGTAACAGAGCCCTGGTTGTCCTGGACTCAATTTGTAGAGCAGGCTGGCTTTAAACTCAAAAAGATCTGCTTGCCTCTGCTTCCCTAGTGCTGGGTTAAAGCTGTGTGCCACCATGGCCAGTTTGTGGCTTTTTCCCCCTTTAATATAGTATATTCTCTATGGTTCTCTTTTTAATGATGACATTGTGAAGCTGGACTTGGTACTTAGGACCAGTAGACAAGAGTAAGGGTGTGTGTCTGTGTCTCTGTGTGTATTGCACACATACATGGTAGATGACAAACAACTTTTGGCTTTCTCCTTCCACCATGTTTGTCCCAGGGATTGAACACAGGGGTCTCTACTCTGGCTCCTTTACGATTTTTTTTTTTTTTAAAGTAAATATGGAGACCATCAATACAATGAATTGAGGACAGCCAGTGTGCTTATTTTCTTAGTTCATCTCTTTAAGTGGACTCTTCAGTGACACAAGAGAACTGAACTGGTCCTGGTATCTGCAAGTTCCTAGGTTCTCAAGAAGCCAGCCAAATGCTGGACATGTACTTCAGAATGGCTCTGCATCATCGTGGAGTTCTTTTAGATACCTATTTATAGCAGCCTTACAGACACCTACTCAGTGAGTAACAGTGATTTAGAATAATAAAGTCTACAGTTTATCTGGTATTTATTATGTAACAAGTCCTATGCTAAAGGATTAATAGAGGCATTGAGTCCACAGGTCTTTTGAGATGGATGGCAGTCACTTCTGTACTGTCGATGAAGACTGAAGCCTGAAGAAACTAAGTGATGTCCTGGATATCACATAACTTCTAACAGCAGTGAGAGCTCTTTATTCAGGGCTAAAAGTAAATAGCCTTCTTTTCTTTTGTTCTAAATTTATTTAAGAAATTACATATAATATACTACATAAAACGTGTTATTAATCTTTTTTCTTGTGTTTGGTTTTGTTACTGTTATTCAAAAGAAGGTCTTTCTATGTCCTAGAACTGACTCTTTAGACCAGGCTGCCCTCAAACTCAGAGGCCTGCCTCTGCCTCTCCCGAGTGCTGAATTAGTGCACCACACCTGGCTAACCGTATTTAAGTGAAGTTCACACAGTGATATATATCTCTCATCACTGTCCAAATCCATATTTCTTTTTCAGGTACTGAGTCTCTCCCCTCTTTTTTCAACCTCTGATAACCATAATGTACTTAAAAAAAAAATAAAACCATGGCTATATGTGTTCGGGATGTTTCATATAAATGGAATCACATAATATTCTTTTCTTTGTGGTTTATTTCGCTTAGCATAATCTTTTCTGGGTTCATCCTGTAACAGCTGTCAGTATTTAATCTTTTTATGATTGAATAATACTCATATATTATATGTATGTACACGTTTTCTATCTAACCATCTGTTGCTTTGTCTTTAAGTTTCTACATTTTGGTGCAAATGCATTCATGAACTTTGGTTGTATAGATATATATTTTCATTTCTTTTTTAAAGATACCTAGAAGTAGAACTATTGGGGGATTATGACAATTCTATTTATCTTTTTGAGGACTTCCCAGACTTTTTTTTTTATAGAGACCATGCTGTTTTACATTCCTACCTGAAGTCTTTCTGCAATTTTTCTTCCTCTTTACCAGCACTTGCTATTTTCCATTTTAAAGAACATCACAACTCTAGAGGTTGTGAAATGCTATGTTCTTGAGGTTTGGTTTGGCCTCCTGGATGAGTGCTGTTATTCAGTAACTTTTATGTACTTAGTGGCCATTTATATTTTTTTGGGAAAATGTTTGTTCAAGTCCTTTGCCTCTGTGATGCTGGAACTTTATGTTAGATACATCTGTGCAAATTTTAATAAAGTCTAATTCATTTTCTTTCATTTTACTTTGAGTTTTAACTATACTTCTATATCTATCCCTTGATGATGAATAAATACATAGATCTGTAAGCAGTAATTCATTAGTCCATTAAGGAGCACTTTATCTTCTCAGTTAGGAATAGGAAACTCCCAGGCTTACTTCCTTTGATCTGGGGAAGGTTATTAGCACTGAGGTCTTTTCCATGAACTCACTTGAGACTTTTTTTTTCCTCAATGCAAATTGGTGCCTGCATACGCCAAGCTCTACCACTGAGCTACATCTCCAACACTTGCTGTTATGAAGCAGGCTCATTATGTAGCCCAGGCTGGCCCTTGAACTAAAGATCCTTCTTGCCTTAACCTTCTAAATGTTGAAATGAGAGGATTATGCCACCCTTTCTTGGCTCCATTTCAGCTTCCTTAAAAAAATTTTTTTTTATTTGATGTATTTGAGTGTTTTGCCTGTGTGTGTGTAAATGCATATGGTTGTGTGCTTTGCATGTGTGTCTGGAAATCTTTAGAACTAGAGTTAACAGACACATGTAACGTGCCAGGTAGCTTAACTATTG